AACAGCGGCCTCAAAACAGCATGCATGTGGCTCGATAATCCGGGGACACATCTGTGACATCTGGTTGACATCTCCTCTCTCCTGGGTAAAAGAGTTGATTGCTAGCCAGGCACACCCATGAGAGAGAGAGAGAGAGCCTTCGTTTGCCATTTAAATACTATTTCAATTATTTTCCTGCGGTGGTATCAGTAACAGAGAAGCCTAACTCGGCAGAGTGGATCAGCCCTGATAACTTCAACAGGGTCAACCACACGGCGGAAATTTCAGGCATGCGCATGAGCACCTACCTAAACCTTTTGCACAGTTATTGATTCGCTCGCTCATGCAATGAACTGAAATATTACCTTGGGCACCTACTGTGCACCAGGCACTGGAAAAACAGTGTTGGAAAGGACCCCCTGCCCCCCCCCACAAGGGTCCCCTCACTCACTGGAGAGCAGGGACCCGGACAGCACGGGACAGGTTGGACGCCCTGCAGGGCCGCCAGGCCGGGAAGGGAAGGGCCAGGGAAGCCTTCCGCCTGAGGCTCACACCTGAGACGAGTCTCAGAGGAGGATGGCCAAGAGGAAGAGTGTCCCACCTGGAAGAAAAGCAAAGAGGTGCCACCAGAGTGCACTTGACAGCGTTGCCCCCGGGGAGCACAGCCGGAGAGGGTGCGGGAGGGAGGGTGTGCTCACTCCAGTGGCTGTCGCATGACCTGGGTAATTACCCAGGTGGACTGAAAAAGGGCTCCTGCAGGGGCAGGGGGGGAGACCACCCCAAAACAACTGATGTGACAGCCTGTGGGCCCCATTTGGACCAAATCTTCTAATACGTTTAAATTCATCTCAGTACCATGTACTATATCCAGAAAATTGATCTCTGCATCCCTGTCTCTTTCCACCTGTCAGATCTCCGTCCACCCTTCAAGCCCACCTCCAATGCCACTTCCTGCCCACCCTGTGCCTGGTTGCCATGCCCTGCCACAGCCCCTCCTGCCCCCCAATTCTACCTTGTCCCCCTTCGCCCCGTCCCCCTCCCAAAGCTGAGCACGAGTCAGGTATGCGTAAATGCTTGCTGAAATAAACTGTGTGTCCAGGCCAAGGTGATCTGCAAACATAAGAATATTTAAGCCTTTGAATGAGCCATCTCCCTATTCCTTTAGCTTTGAACTCCACAAACTCATATTTTTGAAACACAAATGTCTTAAAAGTCTTCTTAGCTTAAGCTTTCCTCTGCCAGAAGACACATGCTTCCTGTTGCCATTGCTCAGTTAACCCTTTCAAAGACCTTCAGCCTCAATCTTGCTACTGTTCGAAACTGGGTCACAGGGTGGGTGCACAGGGATTGATTGTATCATTCGATCTACTTTGGGTATATGCTTGAAAATGTCAAAAAGTATTTTTTTCATGCACCAATATTTGAGGTATTCAGAACCCCCTTAAGAAGTCCTTGTTTGGTTAGGACTATTTCCTAGCAAACAACAGATTTATGATGAAAAGAATATGCTCTGGCTGGGAGGCCAAGGAGAGAGGATCGCTTGAGGTCAGGAGTTCGAGACTACCCTGAGCAAGAGTGAGACCCCATCTCTACTAAAAATAAAAAAAATTAGCCGGGCGTGGTGGAGAGCTCCTGTAGTCCCAGCTACTCGGGAGGCTGAGGCAGGAGGATCGCTTGAGCTCAGGAGATTGAGGTTGCTGTGAGCGAGGCTGACGCCATGGCACTCTAGCCCGGGCAACAGAGCAAGACTCAGTCTCAAAAAAAAAAAAAAAGAAAAGAAAGAAAGAAAAAGAACAGATTCTAAAGTCACAGAGTCCTAGATTCAAACCTGACCCCATCATTTAACAGCTGTGTGACTTTGAACCCATTACCTGCCCTCTCTGACTTTTAATTATTTTGATCTATGAGATGGGGATAATGATGATTGTGCCTACCTCGTGGTAGTAGGAGAAGGGAATCAGACAGTGAATGGATGCTGCTTGGCATGAGGTCAGGTTTCGGAGGCTCAATAAAATGGAATTATTGGCATTACCTGGGGAAAAAAATTTCCTTTTCTCTACATCATACTTTCCAAATATTTTTCGATGATGGTTTATTTGCATATCTGTCTTCTTCCTCTAAGACTAGGAAAGTGTCCAATCTGTTTCTGTGTCTCTGGCATCCAGCACACGGTGTGAATCCTAAAAAGTGCTTCTGGAAGGCTATTAAATGCAAATTGCATCAAATTATATATATATATATATATATATATATACACACACACGTATATATGTGTGTCTATGTGTGTGGCGTGTAGATGCAATTTCCCCTGTACAACCACCTCACATGCCAGAAACCTGCAGGCCTCGAAGTCGTTGGAGATTCTACCCAGAGACCTTAGAGAGAGCCTAGCAGACCTCCACGCATGATCAAGCATCCCCAAAATAAAACTGCACTAAAATTGTGGCTCCAGGCCGGGTGCGGTGGCTCACGCCTGTAATCCTAGCACTTTGGGAGCCCGAAGCGGGCGGATTGCTCAAGGTCAGGAGTTCGAAAGCAGCCTGAGCGAGACCCCGTCTCGACCAAAAATAGAAAGAAATTAATTGACCAACTAAAAATATATATACAAAAAATTAGCCGGGCATGGTGGTGCATGCCTGTAGTCCAGCTACTCGGGAGGCTGAGGCAGGAGGATCGCTTGAGCCAGGAGTTTAGGTTGCCTGTGCGCGAGCGACGCCCACGGCACTCACTCTAGCCTGGGCAACAAAGTGAGACTCTGTCTCAAAAAAAAAAAAAAAAAAAAATTGTGACTCTAGCGTTCCCTATTTCGACTTATTCCATTCTTTCATTCATTCAACAAAGATTTAAGGAGCAGCTCTTGTGTGCCAGGCAGTGTCCTGGATGCTCAGGGATGCACAACGAGAGGAAAGAAAGAGTAAAACGGGTTTCGCTCTCAGCACGTTCATCGCCTAGGGAAAACGATAAGAAAAGAAGGTCACTTCACGGCCGCCTGGCACGACCCTGGAGGGAAGAAGGGTGCAGAGGCAGGACGAAGGTGCCCAGGAAGGCCTCTGGCAGCTGTGCCCGGCTGCGTCTTAAAGGGTGAGGAGGAGTGGGCCAAGGCCACGGGGAAGGGTGTCCCAGGCAGAGAGAACGGTGTGTACAAAGGCACAAACGTGAGGAAGGGCACCGCTGACCGAGCAAAAGCCAGAGTGCCCGGAGGACAGTCCTGGTGGGCTATCGGCAACGGCTGAGGCCAGGTCACGAAGGGCTTCGAATACGTTTGATTTTTTTCCTCCTGAAAGTAACTGGGAGCCATTGAAGAACATCAAACAAAGGCATCACCATCAAATGGCATTTTGTTTATAAATATCAATCTGTTTGGCTTTCCACTAGCGAAGAGAATGGGGGCTCGGGAGACCTATAGGGGACCCTATCAGAGTCACGTGTAACCTGTTATCGATCCCGTGCGTCATATTTTCAAGCCAGAGACTATCTCAGAACTCATCCCATATAACATGCCTTATTGTAGACACACCAAAAAAAAAAACAAAAAACACCTTATTTCTGTAAAGTAGCACGTCCTTTTTAAAAACGAAATGAAACATCCTGCCGGACAATTCCGTCTTCCTAGGTCCTGCCACCATTGCCCCCCTGCCAGCCCTCCTGCCAGGGCAGGCGTGAGAGAGAGGTGGCCTCCCTTCCGGGGCCGCAGTTCTGAAGGTCTCGCCAACCGCTGGAAGCACTCGCCAGCTCTGAGAGGGGGTAGGGTCTCTCTTCTGTGAGCATGAGAAAATCCCAACTGGTTCTGTGCATTTTCTCATAGTGATTAGAAAGTTAAACCCTTTTAAACCAGAGATTATGCTTGAGCTTCTAATACTATTTAAATTACAACTCCCGAATCTTGAGTGATGTAACAGACTAAAATCCAAATGTTGCTTCCTAAATTCTATATATCACACGGCAAGTTACTTAACGTGGCAGAAGGCAATGTAATAGATCGGCCTGGTAACAAAATCATAGAGGTTTTGTCTGCGGCATGATGCTCACCAGCCTCTGAATCCTCCGTAAAACAAACCGGTTGGTCTGTCATCTTTTCTACCCAGGAAATCCCGAACAAATCCACACAGGTGCGTCTAATCTACACAGCACTGCACCCTCAGGGCCACCAGCTTCCCTTCTTCTACTGACCACAGTGATGAGCTCATGCAGAGCAGCTGGTCCTAAATTAACAGCCCAGAGCTGACAGGCCACCGACTCATCATTCCTGAAACAAATTACATAAGATAAGGAGATATTACACAATAAAATATTGTGGACAGGCCGGGCACGGTGGCTCACGCCTGTAATCCTAGCACTCTGGGAGGCCGAGGCGGGCGGATTGCTCGAGGTCAGGAGTTCGAAACCACCCTGAGCAAGAGCAAGACCCCGTCTGTACTATAAATAGAAATAAAATTAATTGGCCAACTAATATATATAGAAAAAAATGAGCCGGGCATGGTGGCACATGCCTGTAGTCCCAGCTTCTCGGGAGGCTGAGGCAGGAGGATGGCTTGAGCCCAGGAGTTTGAGGTTGCTGTGAGCCAGGCTGACGCCACGGCACTCACTCTAGCCTGGGCGACAAAGCGAGACTCTGTCTCAGAAAAAAAAAAAAAATATTGTGGACAGATTTTTTTTTTTAGGCAATATCTAGTGGTAACTTAAGGCAATTGTTTTTAACCACACTGATATAAAAAGCCTCTTGCTTCGGGAATACCAGATAACCACAGCCAAAGACAATGGTGTCTGGGACAACCTCAAACCACGTGTCCTCTACAAGTCATCTCTAGTTGCTGCAATCGAACATGCAAAAGTCAAATAAGTAGCAAATCCATTATTACTAATGCAACAAATATTAACTGATCACCCCTTCGAGTGACAGACCTTGCCAAGATCAGGCCCACAGCTCCCTGCTCAGTGCTCTTACTCACGTCAGCCTCATTTTAACCTTCGCAAGAGCCTGCGTGTTTATTTCCACTCCGCAAACGAGAGGTAAAGACATTTGTTTATCCTCACGCAGGCCAAAAGCCTCAGCTGCGATGTGAGCCCTCCTCTCTCTGAAACTAAGCCTGCGCTTTCTGCATTGCAGGTCTCCAACTGTGGGCCGGTCTCCAAGTGGGGGCCGGGACTGAGACCCCCACCCCGCCCCCGGAGCAGGCCCGGGAAGAAAGCATGTGGGGACCCAAAGATTGGAGACTTCAGAAAGTCACGGACGTTGGATGACACATAGATTTGCTTTTGGGGGTGACCACTCCCAAAAGCGATGACATTGAACCCAGACTCAGAGAGCTCCACTCCTTAGATCCCAAGAGAAAGCAGCTACTTTCCTAAATAAACCCAAAAACTCCTGATGGAAGCCCAGTGCCCAGTCCCCTCCCAAAAGACTTCCTGCTGTGTCAGTCACCAGAAAGCTGTGCATATATTTGATTAGGAGAGGTGGGAAGATGGAGAAGGGAAAAGAACATCTCTTTTAAACTGTTTTTCTCTCTGTTAAGGGGTCTCACATAGATTTAGCATTATTAAGGCTCATCGCTATGGTTAAAAATGAAAGTCATTTCATTGCACTTTCGCTTTTACAGTTGTAATATCAAATTCTCCGAAAGATTCAGCAAAATTAACATTCCATAAAGACGCTGTTTCTCAATCAAATATGCCAGGAATCCCGAAGTACAGTCTCGTTCAAAGCGTATTGAATGTTACAATTATTTAACATAATTTCTAGACATGTCATTCGTTTTCTTACTCTTTTGCCACTGAAATAAATGACAAAAGCTTTTCTGTCACGTTTTATTAGCCAGACAATGACAAACCGGACTGAGCATTGTAGCTTGATGTTGCTGAGACTCTTAATTTATGAACAAAATTAGATTTCGAAGAATAAAGATATCCAGAAAGTTATGAAACAGAAAGAAAAGGCATCACGCTTCATGGGTGCTCGTTCTAGATGTGTTCATTATATGCCACAGCCCGGGGAAGGCAAGTACGGGATTTAAAAAGACACCATCTGTCGTGTGATCTTCCAAGTTATAAACTTCACCCTTAATTTCTCCATCACCTGCTACTCAGTCATTCTCCTTCACCAGGGTGAGAAAAAAATGACTTAGCACAGCACGTTAACTAAGTAGCCTCCGCTGGACCTAGGATGTGCCTTGTGGGACATTTCCATAAGCCCAGCAGCACAACCTGTAGATTTTCTCCAGGAAAAAAAACATCCCGTTTTATTTTACTTTTAAAATGAACACAACACGTATAATAGTTGCCACCGGCTGTAAGTCCCACAACCCCCAAAGAAAGCCACAGTCTTTTCTGAAATTTTCATTTTATTTGAAATAGGTTCTTCGACAGAAAAAGCAGAGACTTTAGAAAGCTTTCAAATCATGAAATGAAAAGTAGAGTCATTCCTCAAGTGAAGAGAGATTTCTTTGTCAAAAACAATGTTAAGACAGAAGAAAAAAAGCGGGTATATACCCCAAATCAGAAAACATTTTCTGTTTAAATAGTCAAAGGCAACCCATGGCACACATGACAAGAAGAAATTTCCATTTTTTTTTTTTTTAAAAAAAGGAATGTATACTTGAAAATCCCTATGTTTTTCTTCCTTGTAGATCTGAAACATCCTAGTTTTTAAAGCACATTTAGCAAAAGCAACGGAGCTCATTCGGGGTTGATTTGAGTTCACAAAATAGTTTTATTATATGTAAGAAAGCATACAGCCAATAAAATTAAGAAAACATTCACAATACATAAATTACACAGACCTGATGCAGGAGATATTTTTCAATAGATTTTTTTTTTTCTTTTTACTGATTTCATCTGAATGTTAACTAAGTTGCTTATCAAGAAGAATACTTTGTAGACATTTCAGAGAAACTCTCGAAATGCCCCACATGAGTTAGCATCTGCAAAGAAGGCTAACGCTACTTTTTACAGTCCAGGCAATGAATGACACAGGGACCTGAATCCAAAGCACAGAGAAAGGAAGAGCATTTGTCAGAAGAGATGCTGACGGCTTCGGAGTGCTTAACACACCCAAAGAGAAGGGTTCTCCTTTTTCCTCCACTCAAGGATGCTAGGGAGGCAATTAATATACCACTAACATTTGAAGACTTTTTAAAAAATTCAGTTCTAAGTTCGGATTAAAGCACTACAAGAAGCAGCCCCACTGACTGGCTTGTTTTGACCTGGTAAGACAGAGGTTTGAGCTCTGTGTGTCAGTGGGGCTGCTACCTTCCACATCTCTATCCAGCAAAGCCATTTGCTTGCTTTTCAGAAAAGCTATCTGACACATGAAATGAGAAAAGACAGAAGGGAGCCAATTATTTTACATAAATACAAAGTGGCATATACTTTTCATTGCCACTTAAGATCATAGATTTAAAGTTGGACTCTTTTCAGCTGGCTTTTATTTAAGATATTTACAGAGCTACAAATCCCTCTGGGAAAGTTTTTGCCGTTTAAGAAATTCTGAACATCATAGTAACCAACTTTTTTAGATTTTTTTTTTCAAAATCTTCTTAGAAAGAAGAAGCATTCACAGCTTCATCAGTTCTCACCTCACATTTGTTTGTGTCAGTAAATTTTAAGGGATCAGTCTTTGCTATGTTTCTAGAAGTTGCACATGATCATTTAGAATCTCTCAGAGTCAGGGTGTTTGTTTCACTGGCTTACAAAGTTCTAGTTACATGGACAAAAATGTGGTTGTAAGGTCTCAGATGACTCATTAGTTTATCCTATTAAATATGATAAATATATTATTATTATAATAAATTAAAAATATACATATAATACAACAAATAAATAAAACCAGTATCAACAAAGCATCTCTCAATTCTGAAAGAAAAAAAAAATCCCATTCCTACTGTAAGCCTCAATTATTCTTTAGAAATAATTTATGAAGGCATGCACCTACCTTTACAATATGGAAACTTTGCTTGGGACCGTGTTAGCACCTGTTTGTATACAGCAAACTCAACCCTTCTCATTTCCTTCCCAGAAAGGTTTGATTTTTTTTTCAAGTGAAGCTGCTCATTGCTGATTCTTTGCCCTCTTTTTAAAGTCCTAAGATAAGAATAAATTTCTAAAAGCAATTTGGGAGGCAATGACATGTCCCTCATAGCTTCCCATGTTTGTAGTGTCCCTGTTTGCTTGACCGTGAACAACACAGAAAACACACTAGGATGTATCTGAAAATATAGCTGCATGTTGGAAAGCAGCAGAAGGCTGGCCTGACACCCAGAGTCTCGCCATGCCTTAGTTTCTTAACAGCAAGCCCCAGACAAACCTGCTGCAGCTTTGGGGGTGGGCAGGAGCATGCAGCAGCTCAGGTTGGGTGCTGTCCATTCTGCGCGAGGGGCTGGATCTTCTCTAAGGAGACATCAGTGTCATAGTCCAGTATGACCGACAGGGCCGGGGACAGCTTCTCCAAGGGTTTGGCTATTCCACCTGCCTCCTCCTTTTTCAGGTCCTCAGAGGAGCCCACGGCATGCGGGATCAGGTAAACCAGATTGCACTCCTTGGAGATGGAGCCTCTGGGCTCGTGGTGGCTGGAAAACACCACAGCCCCGTTGTTGTTGATGCTAACTGTCTCTATGGCGTTATTCGTCGCAGGGCAAAGCCTGTAGCATCCCAAGAGGGTAGAAAACGCCTTCCGAAAATCAGCATTAAAGGCGTAAATGATGGGGTTCAAGGAGGAATTGGCCCACCCAAACCACACAAACACGTCGAAGGTGATGGAATCGATGCAGAAGGGCTGGGTCTCCCCGGACCCGCAGAAGGGCAAGATGCAGTTCAAGATGAAGAAAGGCAGCCAACAGCACACGAACACCCCCATGATCACAGACAGAGTCTTCAGAACTTTGGTCTCTCTTTTGAAGGACATCTTAAAAGAGCTTTCGGGCTGAGAGCACTCGACAGGTTTCCCATTACCTGTGGCGGTCTGGCAGTTCTTGGCATGGACTGCTGCCCTCTCCAGGGCAGAGATGCGCCGAATTTGTTTCTGGGCGATCCTGTAGATCCTGGTGTAGGTGACAAGCATGATGGCCACAGGGATGTAGAAGCTGATTAGGGAGGATGAAATGGCATATGTCCTGCTCAGGCTCGAGTCACAGTTGTCTACGGTCTCGCCCGGGGATGTGGCATTCCCGTCGGAGGGACCGGTGGGTTTTGCCTTGTGCCAGCTGAGCTGCACTGGGATGAAGGAGATGAGGACAGACAAGGTCCACGCCACGCTGATCAGGATGAAGGCTGCCTTGGGCGTCATCTTCCTCTCATACCGGAAGGGGCTGGAGATAGCCCAGTACCTGTCCACACTGATCACACAGAGGTTGAGGATGGACGCCGTGGAGCACATGATGTCAAAGGCCACCCAGATGTTACAGAAGGACCCAAAGGGCCAGAAGCCAGCAATCTCAGCCACTGCCTTCCAGGGCATGACCAAGACGGCCACTAAGAGATCCGACACAGCCAAGGAGATGACGAAGAAGTTGGTCACCTTGGAACGCAGGTGCCGGAACCTGATGACAGCAGCGCAGACCAGCGTGTTGCCCAGGAGGGTGGACAGGATGAGCAGTGACAGGAAACAGGCCGTCAGGATGCGGAAGGAGAAGTCCCTCTGCACCACCAGCCCGGCCCGGTCCATGGTGGAGGTGTTCAGAGTCCTCATCTTCCTGAGGGACAGCACATGCGGGGCTGTGACACCCTCAAGTTCCGAGCAGGGATTAGGGGCCGCCAGAGTCCAGGAGCTGCCCCTGCTCCCCGGCCTGCTCCCCTGGGTGGAGGCCCTTCCCCCAGCGCCCCGAAGAGCACGGCAGGGACCAGGTGTGGCAGGAGCCTCCTGTCGGCAGTCCAAGTCAGTCCCCAGGAAAGTCCCTCTTGCTTCCTACAACTGTCTTCCGACTCCCTTGCTCCAGGTCACTGTCACCGGCACCAGCTGGCCCCTGAATTCCCCAAGGAAAATATTGGCTTTTTAGTATATTCTAAGCCATCCATCCAGGGACCCCCCCCCCCAGGCCTCTGCCCTGCTACTCAATTGCAGTCACATGTCAGGGCTGTTGCTTCCCTGATGGTGACAGGGAACTCTCCCCTTTTCAGACGCAGCTGAAAATGCATGTCTCGCTCCTCCAAGCCCCTGGCTCCTCCGCAGCTCTCCAAACGCCCTGAAAAGCAAAGGGAAAGCACACGGTCGTTCGCCCAGACTTGAGCAGATCGCATCTTTACTCACATCAAGCCCAACCCAGTAATTTGCTGGACGAGCCAGTCTGGGCCACCTACCTTGCCTTGGGGTTGTCGCTCTCAGAGCCCCTGGAGCTGGGAACGCGCGGACTTCGCCAGCAGCGCAGCGGGGCGCCTGAGGCCAGCCGGCCGCCGCCGCGCAGCAGGGGTTCGGCTCGGAAGCGCAAAAGCCGCCCGGGCCAGGCGCGTTTGGGGAAAGGACCCCGGCCAGGCCCGCAGAGAGGCGGCGCTGCCCGCTGCCTCCAGCTGCCAGAGACCATTCACAGCGGAGCCCCAGGCAGAGGATGCCCGGGCGCTCGGAGCTTTCCTGGGAGAGATCACCCCCAGGACCACTCGGGTAGCCTATTTTCTTTGCTTCCTTTCTCCGGGAGCCGAGTGCCTGGGCACCCCTGGGGTGGCCCTGAGCGCAGGGCCCCCACCGCCCCCCAGCACTGCCCGCCACCCCTCTGCAGCCCGTGCGAGCGCCAGGCAGAGCGCGGAGCTGGCTCCGGCGGCGGGCGCTCGGGCCGGCCGGGTTCCCGCGGGGCACAGCGCACCCCGCCCGCGCGTCCCCTCCCCTGTCCTGGGGGCGGGCCTCGCTTCCCAAGCGGAGTCGCAGGCGACAGCCGCACGTGGTTCCCGGGAAGGCGCTGCGGGCGAAGGGGCGGGGGACGCCCAGGTGAGCGCCTGCCCCCGCAGGTTACCTCGCCCCCCGCCCCCCAAGCCTGGGGGGCAGCGCGCCCTGGGCCCGCGAGGCGACCCCGACGGTGGGACCTCCAGCGAGCCTGAGTCGCCAGTTAAGCCAGCGCCTCTCCGGGTAAAACCCCAGCCCGACGCACAGCCCTAGCGAGAGGGGACCCTCCCTACTCACACACCAGCCACTAGGACGGCCGGCCCGCGTCCGACCCGCGCTGTCTCCAGGCACCCCAGCTGGGCGCATCGTGCCCCGCGGGCGCCCGAACTCACCGCTCGCGGGCAGGGCGCTGCGCCGCCGGGCGCTCCGGGCCGGTGCGCGCCGCTGTGCCCGGGGCGCTCGCTTTGCGCTCCGCCCGGGTGGCCCGGGTCGCCCGGGACTGCAGCCCGAGCCTGTCCGCGGGCAGGCGGGCGCCCGGCTCCCGCGCCGCGCTCCCTGGGCCCGGGGCGCCCTCTGCCGACAGCCGCGGCTTCCCGCGCCGGGCCGCGCCTCGCAGGTGCCGACCCCGCCCGCACGGGCTCCGGGAGCCCCTGGGACCCGCGCCCCGACTCGCTCCTCCCTGCCCGTGACCGCCAGAGCCTGGGAAACGGGAGACAGAGTCTTCCTCACTCAGGACTCCTCTGCGTAAAGTACCCCCAAAAACTGACAAGGGTGGAAAGTCCCTCTGGCATCGCATTCATTGAGCCGTTGCGCGCCAAGCACTGGGCCGGGGCAGCAAGGTGCAAGCCTCGCTCGCTCGGGAAGGGAACAGAAAGGCCTGGAACTTGCTGAGGGGCCTCTGAGCCCCAGGCGTGCGCCTTGCATCGCTCACCCCCCTTGAAACCGTCCCTGCTCGCAGGCCGGCTCGTCTCCACCCGCCCTGTGGCCCAGGGAGGCTCAGCCAGGTGGGGACCTGCGTGCGCGAAGCCACACGGCTAACGAGAGTGCTGGCCGGCTGCCCGACTCCCGCCCAATGTACCGCCTCCAGCTCCGGAGCCCACAAAGGAAATAATTACTTATTGGGCTAAGTTACAGGCAAGAGCCAGCGGAGTCAGGAGGGCTTGGAGAAGGAGGGTCCCCTCTCAGACTTTGTACTAATTGTCCTCAAACGAAGACATTCACCTGCCTTCCCGTGCCTTAGGAAGGTGGGAAGAGAGTAAGCACAGGGGCTCTGAAGTCACCCTGCCTGGTCTCCTGTCCCCCACCCTACCACTGTGGGCTGCACGTGCCCTCTCTCCTTTCTGAGCTGGGTTTCTTCCTCTGCAAAGTGGTGATACATAACAGGATTGCTGTGAGCACCCAACGGGAGGGAAGACGCTTGCAGGGGACTGGCACCACACTTAGGAGCTAGTCAGCCCTCCTCCGAGGCAGGAAACCCCTGGGGTTCATTTAAAAGCCAATGGTATAATCTGCATGCACCACACCAGGAGCAAGAATTTTCTCAGTAAAAACCCTGAACCTGAATGATAATTCTATCTAATTGGAATGCAAGCTGCACCTTGGTTTTGGATGCAAGGACCCCCCATTACTGACGTACACCTCCCTATGCCTGTGCTCACAGCCCATGTCCCACCCATGGCCTCCCTGTCACACACAGCATCTCATGGACTAGCGACCAGAGGCACAATTTTTGCTCCCAGTTGCCCCATTAGAACCATAGTCCTCCTGCAGAGCCTTAAGCCCTGCTTAATGTAACGCTTCTGGATCCTTCCCCAGCTTCTTGATAAACACAAATTAAAGGGTATGTTTCTGGTTTAAGACAATCGTGTGAGGCTGAATGTTTTAACTCCTTACGTTCTAATTGTCCCTGTCTGCCGTTTTACTCTGCAATTACCCAGAAATAAACAAGGTGGGGAAATCCGGGGATAACCTTGGAAAGCAGGAAAGGGTAGGATCCTTTCCCTCCCTGGGGATAGCCCATGTTGGGGGAAAAGTACTTTTGGGTCACCTGAGGAAGAAACCCCAAAAGAACACACTAACCCCCAACCCCGAGATCAAGGTAGCAGGGACTAGAATCGAGGATGAGGCCAATTTGAGGGTAAGATTTCTGTCCGATGACTGCCTTTGAGAAGCGTCCCCAGTTGCTACAGCCAACAATGCCCACGGCTCTTGAAATTAAACCACGGATGACAACCACGCCACCACACCTGGGTCTCAGGTGGCATCACACTCAGGGAAACACCAGTTCAACAGTCAAAAAATATTTTATGCAAAATGTAAATACTAACCAAAACCTTGTTGCAAGGAAATGCCATTCATAACAAATTTCTTCATGTCCTCATTTCACTCAAAGCTCAGCAGCTGCTCAAAAAATAAAAATAAAAACTTACTTTGCTGGGAAAAAATCCCCTAAATTTTTTTCAAATTAGCCCATACTGACCTTTGTCTTTTTCTTTCAACTCATTTACCTGATGGATCTAAGAGATCATGTCAACACGTAGTGGTTAAGAGGTTTTTCTCACCCACAGGTAAATTTCTGCCCTTTTCCATGTCAGAACGTAGGACCTCCTCCACACCCACGTGCTGTGCTTTGCGGGGGTCTCTGTCAAAGCTCCTGTTGAGGCTGAATTGCCATTGTCGCGGTATTATGAGGTGGGACCTTTGAGGGGTGGTTAGGCCACAGAGCTCTGCCCTCGGGAATGGAGTTGTCTTGGGAGTGGTTACTTATCGCTGGAGTGGGCTCCCGGTAAAAAGAATAAGTCAGCTTTGGTCCCCCAGCTTTTCCCTCTGTTTCCTGCCATGTCATGTTAGCAAGAAGACCCTCACCAGCTAGAGCCCCTCATCTCTGACTTCCCGGCCTCCAGAACCATGAACCAAATCAACTTCTATTCTTTTCAGCTTACTCGGTCTGTGGCATTTTGTTATAGTAGCAGGAAATGGACCAAGACGCCAAGGCATGCAAGAAAGACCCAGAAACCAAAGCAGCAAAGAGAAAATCCTCCTGAACAGGTAGAGGAAGAGAGAAAGGACCTGTGACTAACCTGTGATCAAGGAGGTAATTTTGTTCCCTATCACCAGGAAAACAAGAGAAATTGGGGCCAATTTTCTTTCTGATTCCATAACTCTAAGACAGACAGCGGAGATCCCTTGCTGACAAGAGTTAGGTCACCGGCTTATGAACATCCTTTGCTGAGAAAACAGGACAGAGTGAAACGTAGCTCAGATCTCGGGGTTCCACTTGGCACAGAGTGTGAATTTCAGAGGAACTTAGAGTCTAGTCGGAGGTTTGGAGTTTTTCTGATTTTTCTCTCTTGAAGCTAAGAGGAAACAAAGCCTTCCCTTTTGTTCTATAAAAATCCCTGCCACAAGCAGCAAGAACACTAATATAAATGCGAGCAGGTATTAGCATTAGATCATGCTGGGAATGTAAACCCAAACACAAAAGCACCTTTGTTTCCCAAATTGGTACGTCTTTTAAACTCTACCGTGATTTGTGCACCGCAAGGAGGGGGAGGTTAAAATGCTGCTTTTCAACAAATTTTTATTTGGAGTGTGTAAAAAGCAATGAATACAAAAGGCATGCCATCTAAGGGGGAGTTTACTCTCATAAAAGAATAAATAAAGCAACTAAAGTGTCAAGTATATCAAACGATATATTAAGAGGCTTTAGGATTATTAAAGCTGGTTTTAAAAGAGATAAAGCTTGGCCGACCTTGACTAAGAAATGAGAATGCTCTTTTCAAGCAATAAATATAACTTCTCTGAAATTCCTAATGCCCCGTCATATTTACTGCTCCTACAGTTATTAGACAATGCAAAAATCAATACTTTAAAATTTAAAAATCAGCCGGGCGCGGTGGCTCACGCCTGTAATCCTAGCTCTTGGGAGGCCAAGTTGGGCACATTGCTCGAGGTCAGGAGTTCAAAACCAGCCTGAGCAAGAGCGAGACCCCGTCTCTACTATAAATAGAAAGAAATTAATTGGCCAACTGATATATATATAAAAAATTAGCCGGGCATGGTGGCACATGCCTGTAGTCCCAGCTACTCGGGAGGCTGAGGCAGGAGGATCGCTCGAGCCCAGGAGTTTGAGGTTGCTGTGAGCTAGGCTGATGCCACGGCACTCACTCTAGCCTGGACAACAAAGCGAGACTCTGTCTCAAAAAAAAAAAAAAAAAAAAAAATTAAAAATCAACAGACATTCCTCTTGGTAGTGGTTAGAAGTATCACATGCATATTGTGTTTTTTATTTTTGTCTATTCTTCCCTTTTTTTACTTTTCCTCTTTTTCTGCCTTTTATAGGCTTAACTGAATAGTTTTTATCATTCCATTTTATCTCCATTATTGGCTTATTTTCTATAATTGTTATTTTTTCATGGTTGCTTTAGAGTTTGCATCGTGCTATGTATGTGTGCGTGTGTGTGCACATACTATACATACTTTTCACAGTCTATCTTCAAGTGATATTGTACCATTCCATGTATCGTTAATAAAATTACAATAGCATCCCTCCATGTCTTCTTAAAAAGTCAGTTACCTTTTAAAGAACTTTAATAAGAAGTAAATATGCAGGCCGGGCGCGGTGGCTCACGCCTGTAATCCTAGCACTTTGGGAGGCCGAGGCGGGCGGATTGCTCAAGGTCAGGAGTTCGAAACCAGCCTGAGCGAGACCCCGTCTCTACCAAAAAATAGAAAGAAATTAATTGACCAACTAAAAATATATATACAAAAAAAAATATTAGCCGAGCACGGTGGCACAGGCCTGCAGTCCCAGCTACTCGGGAGGCTGAGGCAGGAGGATTGCTTGAGCCCAGGAGTTTGAGGTTGCTGTGAGCGAGGCTGACGCCACGGCACTCACTCTAGCCTGGGCAACAAAGCGAGACTCTGTCTCAAAAAAAAAAAAAAAAA